TACACGGAAAAAAAGTTTGGTTGAATTAACCAAATATCTGGTCGAATATGAACGATCTAGAAATTCCGATTGAAGTAATCCGAATTCTGTTTAAGTCAACCAAAAATTTTGTTAACTTAAATAGAATTCGGAATTTCTGGATCGTTCATATTCGACCAAATATTTTATTAATTCAACCAAACTTTTTTTTCCGTAAAGATATAGGCGTTTTTGGTTTGTCGATTATGAATATGAAGTCAAATATGTAAAATTATTTGTATAAATAATAAAATGTTTAAAACATATAAATATAAAACATGTAAAAAGTTGAAAAAAAAAATTATTTATACAAATAATTTCTCGGTTTGGCCGAGATTCGAACTATTTTTGACTAATTTAGCACAGATTTAAAATATTTTGGTTGAAATCTCGGCTAAAAAAATTTAGAATTCGTGTCTCAGTTATGCCGATTTTGTTAAAATTATTCAACTATATCTTATATTCAATTTTATTTCTTATGTATTTTTGTTGCACTTGTTGATGATAGGAGTGAGAACATTAAAAAACTATAAACTATCGATGAAACTCAAAGTGAGCCAAAATGAAAAAATATGATCTAAATATTTTTTGTATTTCTACATTCGTGTAAAATTAGAAAGAAATCAAAGTATACCTTTTGGATAGATTTACTTATGTAAGTCGCAAGTAGTCATGCAAATGTAACTATTCACCCGATACTCAGGATTGGTTATCTTTCATATAAAGAGAACAAAACAAATTATTTTTGTTTTAAGGACAAGAACTTCGCCGTGGTTGTATTGAATTTGTGACGTTAGAAACGAGGAACGACATACTGACGAAAATTGCGTGTCATTTCTAATTAAAAATAAATATAGACGAAACAGCACTTGATACAGGTTTGAGTATACTTGTAAAATTGTGCGAAATGTATTTTCAGTATTCTAGCGCAAATTTTATCATATATTAAGTAGTGGAGATTTAAGAATAAATAAATAATAAATAACCCATACAAAAACACAACGTCTAAAAGCGAGACATAAGACGTCTGAAAGACATCTTAAAGATGTCTCTCAGACGTCAAAATGTAAGACGTCTCTAAGATGTTTTTAAGACGTCTTTAAGATGTCTTATGTCCCGATTTTAGACGTTGTGTTGCATGGGAATAATTTATAAAAATTTAATAAAAACAAGTTTAACAACATTTAATACATCTCTATACATCTTAATATTTAGTAAAATCCGGGAGTGCTAGAGTGTTGGAAACTGACGAGCGCCGCAACAGTTAGTTAGTTAGCAAGTATTATTTACTTCTATCACCGTTGACATGAACCATCGAATCCTCGAGAACAAGTTTTTCTCGTCTAATACCCAGAGTCCAAGTATACCGAGCACATTCTTATGGAATGTTAAAACCTGCACGGTATCAGCGTTCCACTTCATGGACGACTTCATTTTTGAGCAGTTGAGAATCTCTCGTAAGTACGAATTACGTTATGTATTACGTTACGTATTACTTTATTTTTTTCCCTCAAATAGAACGATGAATTTTCCTCGAGCTTCTCTTCGATTTATTCCCCCTCGAAAATAATAACAATCCTTCGCCTTCGTTCTTCTACGATGAGTACATCGTTCGATATTCGATCTGTCGCATGTATCTCCAAGAAGTCTCTGCGACACTTAAAGTAACCCCTCGCGGCAGCCAAATAGCTGGATTTCCACCAATTTATTATTCATACTTACGACCCTCGCAACATTTTTTAAGAATATAGTCCGTGCTTGTATCTGTATTTGTATAAATAATAGAGTTACGCTACTCGGCATCGTTCTCGGCGATATTAATTCTTGGAACAATGAATCGGAGAACTTAAGTATTCCGTCTCTCAATAAATAAAAGATCGACTGCGACAAAGCTGAGCCATGTCTTGGAATTGTTATCTTGTCCTTCCTCAAGGAAACAATTCGTCTAAATTATTTCCAGTCAAATAAATAGATGAATAGCAAGACTTAAAAAGGAGAGTTCTATACGGAGAAATAGTGATTATGGAGAAAATGTGACGTTAATGGAAAATTTTCTACAGTATACATGTTTTTTCTAATGACTTATTCAAATGTGCTTGAACTGTATCGGTAAGAAAAACTCTGTTGAGTAAAAAATTATACGACAACTGCTCTTTGCGAATAGAATACACCAATCGTCAGTGATGGAACAGATGTTGACGAGTGTTACGCTTGTATTCATACGCGGAAAAGCAGTATACTCGCTTAACGTAAGTAATAGTATGACGTGAAAAAAAGTTTCAAGATGTCTTCTGAAATAATCACGAACTTTGAAACAGGAACTTGCCTCGAAACATTAACAATGCTGTTAGTGCAATAGTGCTGCTGTAGGTAAAATATTTCTACAAAAAGAATAACAGTAAAATTTTTGTACATACTAATACTTGTAACAAAAATATCAAATCAACTACGGAAATTACAAAATATACGTTTCAAGACGTTTCATACTATATTAGCTCTTCATATAATAGTTAATATCCCAGGTAACACAGCGAATTCGAAAAGAATTCAGTCATATATCACCAATTCTGAGTTTATTTTAAGTACAAAAAGAATTCTTTTCACTGAACTGAACTCTAAAGAATTCTTTTTGCATTTGAAAGTAAACTCAGAATTGGTGACATACGACTGAATTCTTTTTGAATTCTCTCTCTTTTTCAATTCTTTATGCCATCTAAGTACTTACACAGTACTAAATTATATTAAGAAAAAAATACTTAAGTATCCCTTAAATAAATTTTCAAGTATTTTTTCTTCAGTGCAAGTAGAATATTAGCAGTCTTTTCTGGCAATAGACTAGTTACAGAAGCCCATAAGTTTCGACTACTCTTAATTGATTCCCATGCTTTTGCGCAATCAAAACGACCCTTCAAGTACCCTACGTCAGTTAAAGGATTTCAAGAGACCTCTGATCTTACACTTTAGGGTTTCGTTACGTAAAGGATATATAATTTAAGCATTTCAAGATATTCATTCAAAAGTTATCTGCGCTTTACAAAATTTTTACTTAAAAAAAATTGCATTATAGTACATAACTGTATATTAATCTTCTTTAATTAATATCTAAGCATGTATGTGGTCATTTGGAAAATGGTAGAGGATTTTTTTGTTCAATTTAATCTAATATTAAGGTAACCAGATTTCCCAGCCCTAAATTCGGGACACTTCATAAATGTGAGAAGCGGGGGAAGGGGGTTTAAAAGATCCAAAAATTATTTGTCAATCATTGAAAATAATGGCAAATCGATGTCCTGAATAGCACTCGAAAAAATTTGGAACAAAGGGTGAAAAATCGGGACGTCTGATTACCTTATCTAATATACAAGCATACATCGTCAACTATTGTGGTTGTTGTTAAAGTTATTGTTAAAATTAATTATTGCATATGTCGCTAAGAAATATAATAAATATGAAAATAAATAAACAAATATAATATGACATATGCCGCTAAGAGAATACAAAACATTATTTTATTCGAAAAATAAATTCACTTACAACACATGCTCAATTAAACATTTATATGATGCCATTATTGCTAAGTTTTTTTGATGTATTAAAACATGACGTTAAATATACGTCACTTAGTCGACGTATGACATCACTGACCAATTATGACTAGATATTGACGTCAAAATAACGACTGTTTGCTCTCTAGGACGTTATATGCCAATGTCTGAATGACTGGTTATCAAGCTAAGTCATAAAATAAGCTACTTTGAGATAGATGTTAGAATGACATTTCGAGTAATAACTCATCCTGACCGTTGAGGTCACATACCAGCGCGCATGTTCGATGTCGGAGCCTGGAAGAATGTATACGTTTTCGCTGACGCGTTCTCGCGCGCTTGCCGCAAAAGCGATTGCACTTCTCAGGACGAGAGGAAGTCACTCTGGATCATAAACGGCATTAAATTTATTCTCGCTTTTGTACTTTGCGATTTGGTTGTGATCACTGGAGGTCTAACTCACTGTGTCTGTCGTAAGAAGAAAACAAATCGATTCAATATACTTTTCGACGCATCCGCGACAGAAGATCTGGAATGAGTCGATCGAGCTCCTTAGTATGGTTAGTACTTCTACCGATCGTTGTCCACGTGTTGGGCAATCAGGGAAATTCCTCGCGCGAAGACGAGTTGGATAATACCATACGTCACGAGTATGATAACTTCACTACTAGGGTAAACGAAGATTTCACAACGAGGTACGATAAGGATTCCGCGCAACACGATTACTTCAATAACTACACGAAGAATCTCTACGAGGAAGACAGGAAGCAGGATATGCCGGCCGCACTCCGAGATAATCACAGGAAGACCGACTACGAAGACGAACTTACCATCTCGTACAAGTTTCGTCCAAAGAACGACTCCAACAAAGACAATTTGAGTAAGATGTGCAACAGCACAGTTTGCATTGCGATTTGCAAGCAAGGTTATCGCATATTCAGGGGTATATGTATACCTGATGCGATTGATCACCCTTTCCCAGAAGTCTACAAGGTTAATAAGAAGGTAAAAGGTATTTTTCAGTTAGACGTGTCGGATTCGTGCGAGACAACTGAAGGTTTTTCACTCTTTCTTAAAGTTTATCGTGATGACGAGTATATGATACTAATCAATGGCTCAGTGTACTATCCAGATCAGAACATTATCCTTGATCCAACAACTTACTGCTTCGCCATAACCAACAGATATGAACTGATCAATAAAAAGTTTACTATAATAATACACAGTTCTCCTATCGGTTTCATAATGTCCTTGCCGTTTCTGCTATTGACTTTCATGGTGTACACGATACTGAAGGAGCTTTGGAACTTGCACGGCTACATACTTCGTGGATATGTCGGCTCGTTATTCGTCGGATATGTACTTCACATGATCCAGCAAGCCTCTACGAAAACAGTTAGGTCGAATGAAGTCTGCATCGCATTAGGTACAACTTGCACAAATCATATAACCGACCTATAAATCGGGATTTGTTTCTGTCAGCCTCGATTTGTACTAATAACTACTGTACATTACTACCTAGTGATTGAATAATTAAATTAAATTAAATTTTAATTAATTAAATTTAATTTAATTTAAACATGTCAAGTACGCGCAGTTATATAAAATTAATCAGACTACGTCTGGATGTATAAATCTCCCTTTCCTTTTCTTATTTCTTAAGACACTCAGATAGTACAGAGAATTTAAAAAAAGATTTAAAAAGAATTCAGTCACGCGTATATTACCAATTCTGAGTTTATTTTTAGATGCAAAGAGAATTCTTCAGAGTTCAGTTCAGTGAAAATAATTCTTTTTACATCTAAAAATAAACTCAGAATTGGTGACGTACGACTGAATTCTTTTTAAATTCTCTGTGCTATCTGAGCATTGTATCTTTACGCACTTATTATAACGCGGCACTTTCCCGTAAGTTTCCGACACAGAAAAAGAACATGCAGTGTAGTTTTCACATAAGATGTATTATAATAGCTATATAAGACTCTCTGACATCTCATTCGAAAATAGACGCAGTTCAATGGACTGTTTCAGCCTTTATCACTCAATTCTGGTTTTCGGCGAGCTTCTTCTGGTTGAATGTGATGTGTTTCGATATTTGGTGGAGATTTGGGTAAGAGTGACGAAGTATTTCGCATTATACTTTATTTCATTATTTTATCGAGCTTTACTTACGCAACATCACGATGATTGTAGTGCGCACGTATGGCCATCGTAGTATTTTTAAAACGTCTTGAAACCAGACACTGGAATGTGTGTAATTGGGTTGTTGCATTATAAATCTGAATACCAGTCCCTAGCTAGATGTGTGATTCGAAACTACGTCATTAACGTCGAAATTTGCTAATTATTATACGACGCAAATTTTGAATCGATAACTTCCGACATTAACGATATCATCCCAATGAATTGTATTTGGCTGTATCATCCTTTAAGAATAGTTCGCGTCTTCTATGCGTTAGAACATCCTGAAAGTGATATTTACCAGAGTACTGTATCACTTTGACAAAAATAATATTGCATAATTATTTCTACAGAACACACCATCTAAAATCGGAATTTAAGACGTCTTGTGTCCCGATTTTGGACATTGCGTTGATTTCCTCTTACTGTCATTTATCAGAAAATATTATGTTCTTAATAAGAAATTATTACTTGCAGGAGCATTACTTAACTTTCGGTGTATATACATAAACGATATACAGAGTGTCCGGTAACTGATCGAGCAACTGCCGTATACGGATATATAGAACGAGAGTCAAAATAATCATTAAATATACCATTATATAAAACATACTATTATATACCATTATATACTATCATATAAAATATACTATTATATACCATTTTGAAATTTTCTCAATATTTACTCCGTAATTAATTAAAATGTATAAACGAATAAGCTCACGAGAAGCGGTAGAACAGGCTCTGTGTGTAAAAGAAATGGTTTATGCTAAAGAAGTAACGTATACGTATCGCTTGTTACTTCGCCTCGAAATCAGCAGTTTACTTATTATCGTTGCTAAAAAGTAAACCATTTCTTTTACATACAGAATCCGTCCTACCGCTTCTCGTAAGCTTAACTTTTAATTAATTACGGAATAAATATTGAGAAAATTTCAAAATAATATATAACTTTTATGATTATTTTGACCCGTTCTACCCGTACACGGTGGTTGCTCGATCAATTACCCTATATATGTTATAGTTAACCCAATAAAAAATTTTTCATACATAAGTATAAAATTATATAAAATTATTATTTTATATTATTTTATATTATTATTATTATTATATATATATATATATATATATATGTATATATAATTATATACATGAAATTTGTCTATGTACATGTTAATTAATGTTATTTATATATAATCATATATAATTATATATATAATTTCATATATAATATTACATAATTACGCATACAAATATATGTAATTATACTTATAATTATACATAATTGTGTATAATTATATATAATTTTATATAATTCTATATTATTATGGATAATTATACATAATTAATACATAATTTTTCATAAGTACGGACAAATTTTATATTTAACCCTTAAGCACTGACAGCAGTCTGATGGATTCCCAATGAAAAAAAAATCTATTGCATCATATAAATATCGCGTCTATCTTTTCTTTGGCCCGTAAAATAAGAAGTGGCGACAAAGAAAGACGTTTCGCACACTTTCTCAGATAATTATCAAACTGCGAAATATTTTTGTAGATATGTGTCAGTGTTTAAGGAATAATTATGTATGAAAAATTTTTTATCCGGAAAGCGCGGGCACTCCTATATTGACTGATTAAGCTAAGTGAAACCCTATTTCGCGCTATACCAAGAATACATGACAACAATCCATGGTGTTCAAGAAACATATTATCAGCGCTATTTATAGCACTATACGCGTCACTCTACCCTTGTTGTATATACACCAAAACAATAAAGATAGATCCTTACAACATATCTAAAATCGAGACGTCTTAAAGACGTCTTAAAGACATCTTAGGGACATCTTACATTCCGACGTCTGAGACTTATGTCCCGATTTTGGACGTTGTGTTGTGTGGGAAAATTGCGTAGTAGCGTTGATAGTGAGCTCCGCAAACAAATATGATCCTATATATGATCTAATTATCATCCCCATCCATCATTCATTAAAATCGATATGATTTTAATTTCTAGCCCGTATTCTTGTTACCATATTGACTGTAATATGTAATTTCCTAGACAAGTACGCTCTTTCCAAGGAAGCATGACGCGAGAAGATAGAAGAAGATTCATCATATATTCGATATACGCATGGGGTTGCGCCTCCATCCTCATCATCGTTTGCGCCATCATCGATTTCGTACCTAGTGTGCCGGAAAACTTCATCAAGCCGCAACTCTCCAAACTTGAATGTTGGTCGACAGGACACGTTGGTTATGTTGGTAATAGCGAAGTTATTACGAACGTTTTTAATGTTGATACGTATGACATAAATTAACATCGTTCATTTACACTTTATTCGTTTCATTCTAATAAATAAAATAAAGAAGCGAATTTCATAAACAAAATTTATTTTTTTTCTTTAAAATAAGCCAAGAAATTCAATTATTTGAAAATAAAAATTCTGACTTGAGAAATTATAATTATAACACTATTAGAGTTATTAAGCTTTTGTTAAATCTGTAAGGATTTTGATTAAAATGCAAAATACAGCCCTAACAGCACAGGGGACATCCAGAGTACATCCTAAGGAAGTCCTGAGGACATTTGTTTGTCCTCAGGACGTCCTTAGGACGTCCTCAGGAGTTCTTGTCCTGTCTGGCAGACATCCCATATCACTTATAAATTATGTAAAATGCGAATGATTTATTTCCTACTTTACTAAGCAGAAGAGAATAAGCTAGAAGGAATATATTTTTATGGACCCGCAAGTGTCATCATAGTCGGCAACATCTGCATGTTTATTTCCACAACGTTAAAGTTCAAGCGGAACAACAGGAATATAGAATCCATTATGAAAAACATGGAAAGTAGACGTCACGACAACAACAAACAAACGTTCGTATTTAACAATACATAGTCACTACCCAGACAACATAATGTTTAAAACTGGGACATAAAATGTCTTAAACGTAATCTTTAAGACGCCTTAAAGACATTATATGTAAGTCGTCTGAAAGACATCTTAAAGATGATGTTTAAGACGTCTTATGTTCCGATTTTAGACATTATGTTATCTGGGTACTTTAATGTCCTAGAAATTTAGATATACAAAAAATTATAATAAATATAAAAAAATGTATCTATGAAGAATATTTTTTCATAAATAATTAAAACGTGATTTTATTTTAGTTATACTACGTTTTAATTATTGAAAAAATATTTTTTATAAATATTTTTTTAATATTTATTATAATCTTGTTCATATTTGAATTTGCAGAACATTTGAATATTTGCAAAAGATTTTATATCAATATATATAAAATATTTTATAAATATTGTGTGTTGCCTGGGATGATATCAGTTGGTCTTTGTTCCTAACATGATAATTACTCTTATACATTCCGGCGAGGTATAAGGAGTCTTAAATCACTCAGATAGATATATTTCGGCATGTTGTCTGTTTAGTAATTAACGCACAAAGTGTACTATGATTGGCTAATACATAAGTACGCAAAATACTTCGTTATGCATCAAGAATTTTATTAGTATATAAAAGAAGTCATTTGATGCCATGCATGAAAATATTCTAATGCAATGAAAACATTGCGACAATATTCTGATGCAATGAAAACTGCTGCTTACTTTGCCGGAAAAAAAACGCAATTAATACGGAATTATTGTAGTCCTAAGAAAAGGAAATATTTTGATTAAAATTATGGCCATAAAAGATGTATATCTTTAAACGTAGTTAACAATCAACTTAATTGGACGCATCATAATTATAGCAGAGATAATATGAAAAATATATTGCAGCTTTATCCTTTACGTGAAGCTGTTCATCCTAATGGTTCATCCTATAACCTCGTTCATGGAGATAATACCGTGGATATATAAGGGCAAACCGCTGTACATCTGGTACTACATTGACTTCATAATTGACTGTCTGTACGGACTCATAATCTTCATAATATTCGTGTGTAAGGACAATATCAAGAAGTTACTGCTAAAGAAATTCCGCCAGAACTGCACATTCTCTCTATTCTCCAGAAATACATTACGTAGCGGTTGTCATAACACGATCTTGCCCACCTCTGAAGCGATACCTCTTAATAAAATCAGCCCTTGTGTACAAATGAATTGCCGCGCGGAAAATTTGTCTGACTAGAACGACTCACCATTAACGTAACACAAAGAGTAGGTTTCTATCGTACATTTATGGTCGGCAAAATACTGCGTGTAAAAGCGCAAAAATTTATACGCAGAATGTAATCTGACAAATTCATTTATGTTAAAAAAATTCTATTATAAAATTCAACAAGTACTTGATAAGGACATACAGTCATACGTATATCAGTATGATACCTCCTTCAATGTTAAACTTACATTTAAAATATTTTTCACGAGCCATTTTGTTTTTGAGATATTTTTATATTTATTTTCGTATTTAGGACGCCCCATATATATGCAAACATATTCGAAACAACAAATCTACTGTGATTTTCAAGTAATATATACACTTGTTCCTTTTCATATTTTACAAAGGCAAATTATTTTTTCAGGCCAAAAACGCAACAACAATATTCGGGAATTGAAAGAAAATTACTAAGTAAATATATTTGAATTTTATTTATGTAATTAAGTAATATATTTATATTAAAACAGATAATTTATTTATAATTTATTTCTTATTTCAAAATTTATATATTTGTTTCATTTTGATAAATAAAATAAAAAGGCGAATTTTATAAGCAAAATTTAATTTCTTCTTTAAAATAAGCTAAAAAATTTTATTATTTGGAAATAAAAATTCTGATCTGAGAGATTATAATTATAACATTATTTTATGAGCAATTTTTTTCATTTTTTTAATTGGATTATTATACAAACGTAAATTATGCAAATCAGAAAAGTGTGCAAGAGCTGTAGGCAATGGATGCTGTGACATCTCATTTTTGCGCAAAAAATAATCATATATTATTTGTTTTATTGCAAATATATATTATCTAATTACATATATAAAATTCAAAACATATTCACTTAGTAGTTTTGCTTAAATGAATATTTTATTTTATAATATTATTGTTTTTTGGCCTGAAAAGGTTATTTGTCTTGTTCACTTCATATCGTTAGTATGTATTCTTTTAATAGCTCTAAATCTTTTTACAGAGATATTATATATATTACAAAGATATTATATATATTTTTTAATTTATTTTTATATACCATCATTAACAATGCGCTTGATATGCTTGAAATGTGCTTGTAACTATAGTTACCTATATGTAAGATTATTTCACTCATTTGCTGCAACAATGACATAACTCAAAAAATATAATTTTTCAGGAAACACGAATTAATGTTTTAAATTGCTATAACTTTGTATGAGAATTTTAAAATATTATATTGGCATAATTTAATAAAGTAATATCGTAAGTAATCGTCGTTTCCCTCTCTAAAAAACGCATGGACATGTCCATTATTGCATTATATACTTTCATTTATATAAAAATTATATAAATACTTATACTTTCATACTTAGACTTAGACTTATACTTATACATACTTATACTTAGATATTTATACTTTCATTTTATATTATACAAAATATTTACAATCCTATAACATACTATTTTTCATTTACAAGAAATTCTTTTTTGTTTTTCATACAATACCCTGGTAAAAATTTTTTAATGAAAATATTAAGACCTTCTCTAAGAAGCAGAATTTTCAGAAAAAGTAAGAAATTTTTTATGACAAAATCCGATTTCTTCTTTTCTTTTCAGTAAAATTCTGAAAATATCCAAAATATTGTGACATTTGTATTTTAATGTAATAGACTAAAATTAACCATTCCATTTTCTAAAAAAATCAGATTTTCAGTAATAATCAAAAATATATTTCATAAATTATAAGAAATAATGATTTTTATGATAAAATTCTACTTTTTCTGATAATATAACATGTCTTCTCTGATTTTATCTTATTTATATAATAATGAAGACCGTTCAATGTTAAAGTAATATTTCCAAAACTTTCAGAAAAAGTAATATTTCCAATACTTTTTCGAAAAATGTAAGAATAATACAAACATTTTTTGTCATAATTTCTCTTGTCATAATTTCTGTAACAAAATTTGATTTTTAATAAATTTCAAATGTTAGCAAATATTAGTAGTAGTAATGATATTTATTGTTCCCCTACGGAGTTACAATTTCTTTTTCATTTACATCTCCTTTTTTCACTTCTCGCAATCTTTATCCATCTTCCCTACCTACATATACACCCACACACATCCTATCCTTATCTTTTTTTTAATTCCTAATACCTACCCTTGTCTTCACTTCTCCACTCGTCTCTCACTCTTCTGCATCCTCTATACACTTACTTTCCTCACACTCTCTCTCCTCTTCACTTCAGTTTTCACTCTCTACTCTCGCTTTTAAAAACGCCAGTCATTCTCACTTATTCCAGAAACGCTCTATGTTAGCAAATACTAAGTTACTATATTATTAATAAACTATTATTAATTAATTATTATTAATCGATTATTAATAGATTATTAATGTAGCACTCCTTTTTATTTAATTTACGGGAACAGTTACTTTCTAATTAGTAAATTCCTGTTGCTTATGAAACTGCGGAAAACAAATTTTTATTTTAAATAGTTTCACTTTGTGCAAAATAATTTAACTTTAATATAAACAAGTCTCAACTTCAACATTGTACTTAGCAATTTTTATTTAATTTGTTTTTTTTAAGCTATATATATATATATATATATATATATATATATATATATATATATATATATTTTATAACATAATTTAAAAAAAAAATAATTCCACATTTAATTTAGATATTAAAATAAGGTGAAGTTGAACATAAATTTCATATAAGTTCGTCACATAATTTATTTTGATAAAATTGCGACTGATTATTGTTTAATAAAGTGTATTTAAAATGGGAAAATAAAGAAAATTCAGAAATACTGTTACATATATATACTTTAAATTGACAAAGAAATTTCCTTTTCAGTGAAACTCAGAGTAATTCATATCGTCTTCAGATTACTTCGTAGAAAGTAAGATAATATAAGAAAACATAATATTGGAATTTCTCTTCATTTTTCATGTTAAGTCGGATCTTATATATTTTTCGGAAAATTTCAGTATTTTACAGTGAATGCTCAGAGAAAAAAAAAACAAATTGTATAATTATTCAGAAAATTAATAAAAATTGTTAAAAATTTTCATTGAAACGCTGTTTTTTTCATTTTTACAAAATTTGCAATGTTTCCTTACTTTTTTAAAAAGTGTTCCAATTTACTGAATTTTTCATTGTTTTGTTAGAAATTTTCAGCAACATATTTTCACCAAGGTAGTTAGTATTTTTTATGCCTTGACATTTGTACTTTCACTATTTACAATTGTATGAAACCAAATAGAAAAACAGTACAAACTACGAAACTACATTATGTTAGTATTCAGCAACCTCTTAACATTAAGGCCCTCATTGTAAATTCTTGATAACATTGCCTCTAAATATGGCTTATAAGTTTCCTGATCGGCTCATAAGAACATTGAAAGACATTTTTATTAATAAAAGAAAGATTAGAAAGGGTCTAATAAGATTATTAATATTTTATATTTACATACAAGAAACACTGATATACTACTCTGATACATTGTTGACGTTTTTTTAAATAATCAATAAATAACAAATGTATATTGCGTACGTTTAGAAAATTCTAATAACTTTAGTGCATGATATGTTGAGACTGTCGATCTGCATCACATTTTGAAAGTAGCAACAATCAACTATTTATGAGCAGCAGCATTGTACACTTTAACATTTGGGCCCTTCTGCAGATAATCCAAGGCCAATTTGCAAAAGTCTTGTAGAACTGCGAAAATTACGATTACGATCATTTCTTACGACTTTCTCGTAGTAAAATATAAGTTTAAACATTGACAAATAATTTGCCCGTACCTGGCGGTGATTGTTCTGATAGAAACAATACATACTTCTTGTAGATCTGGCTTCAGTGTTAGCAGCATTTTTTATTTAAAAAAATGCGTTACTTTTTGAACGAGACTGTTTAAATCAAAATAAACAACAAGGTAAATTAATATTTATCTAACAACTCCTGAAGATGGATGTTATTATTTTAATAATTTAAATAATATTAAATAAATAATTTATATATATTATATTATTATATTATATATATATCTTATATGTTATATATATTATTATATTATATATATTAAATAATAAGTGTTAAATAAATATTAATTAATAATAAGTTAGTATAAAAATAAATAAATAATTTTTGTAAGTTAGTTCCAAAGGCTCTGCTACGAGCCTCCATTTTCTTTAACGAGGAATCGAGGTGAGTTCGTTGTAGAGAGTGGTCGTTTTCTGTTTGGTGCCTCGGAAGAGTGATTTTTCTTCTTTTCCTACGGTTTTTCATCGTTAGCGACTCCTTGAGTCTTTTAGCGCGCTGCTTATACCAGCTTCGCTTTATTATGGAGGAAAAAATGGAGGCTGATCCGGAAGTCAGTGTTGTTGCCGATCCGGCTGCCGTTCCTGTGCCGGGAGGACAGGAGAGTTCGGCTCTTCATCGTTCCGGTGCTCGAGGAATGCCGTCTAAAAGGGCCTCTTGTGATGATATATCCTCTAAAATTTCTAGCGGTAGAGGTAAGAGAGTCAAAACTTTCTCTTTCTGAACCTGCAGGTTCGATCGAGACAATATTTAACATCGATTCTCCGACCTTGAAACCACAAACACCTGTTACTCCTTTGCGTGCAGAAAAAATTTCTGCGCTGTCTCGGGAGGCTAACGTTTCGGTTTTTCCTATTTCCAGAAAGCTAGCTGGCTTATTGTCTATAGATACAAGGTCGAAAGTCTCGGTCCATTTACAACTTATATTGAACGTGTTTCTCCTTCTATGTCTAGAAACGATAACACTGCTTTAGATCAACAATCTATTAGTGTTCTGCGCATTGGGCGTTGTTTGCTTAAGATCTGCCCATCTTCGATGGAGACGGTTTTTGATTTTGTTAAGAAGGGCAATGATAAATTCAGCATCAATTTTCCTACGTATCATCAAGCTAATGAGTTTATCTCTTTAGTTTACAAGAACCGTTTCTCTGTAAGATCGGATGAATGTTGGGTTGCTTATGTGCCTTCCTTCAAAATTTTTAAGAAGGTCATTCTTAGAGGGTTGGATGATTCTGATCTGGAACCTGACTTTATAGCTAAGCATCTACGTCCAGCTCCTGATCATTTTGGTAAGTGGATTCCGCCTATACTTATAGGTAATTTAAAGAGGGTCTCTGGGCATAACGAAGACGGTTCTCCTAAGCTGACCAATTCTAATTCCTTTACTGCCACCTTTGATTATTCTGATACTCCTACTAGGGCCATCCTCCTGGGTAAGAATATCTATATGTATCCTTTTGTCCAGAAGGTCAGAAGGTGCACCCGCTGTCAGCGCTTTGGGCATATTAAAAGGCTTTGTAAAACGTCTGAGGACAAATGTATTTGTGAGTTTTGCAGCTTACGAGGTCATTCACAGGAGCATTGTTCTGAGCCAATCCCGGTTTGTATTAATTGCATACGAGAAAAGAGAGTCAAGACTTCGCACAGGGTTTTATCTTTCGATTGTCCTGTTTATGCGGATCAAAAAGAGCTCAAAAAAATCATGGTCTATCTCTGTTTGGATTTTAGGGGAACAAGGGCGTATCTTGATCGTCATGGGCCTCTGGACTCTTCAATCTCTGATAAACCGCCCGCTTCTACCTTAGCGGACTTTGTTCCTCATCAGTTCCTTTATTCGGAGGTGGTCCGTAATGGGTGTGATGCTCGAGTGGAGGCGATGTGTGCCCCTGTCAGTTGCAACGTTGAGCGTTTGCCGCTTAGTCGGTCTATGCGCCAACGGACTGCGACCCCGCAGTCAGCGCAGTCTGCCCGCTGAGTTAACCTCTCAAGCCAAACATTTTATATCTGATAATTCTCGTTCCTCTAATGCTAAACCATCTAAAATTCTTTTGTCTGATTCGTTACAGAAAAGACTACTCATGACTCCTAAAGGAACTACTGTCGCTGGGACTGGCGTTCCATCTAAAATCGCATCTTTCTTCTCTGGAGGATTCTTGACTCGGCAACAAAGATCGTCCCCTACTGAGAGGGAGTATATTAGGGAGTAGGCGTCCGTTGCATGCAGTGCACTCTGCACGCCTTATCATGGAACTATCTCTCCTGGGAGCGCCACTCAATGATATTGACGACATTATTTTCTCTGACGACACCGCGACATTAAGAACTATTCATAATTCTCTAATTAAGGCAAAGTTATTTTTATAAAATTAAAAAAGATATATATTTCGTGTAACTCCTGGTTATCTTGTCAACTAAAAACTGACTAATGGAATATATATGATTCCCGGTCATTTCAACAAGAAGAAGAAGAAGAGGAGGAATCGAGGTACCCGATAAAAAATTTTTCATGCATAATTTTGCAAAAATGCTTATATAAAATTATGCAAAATTATATATGAAATTTGTCCATATATAATTATACATAATTATGTATAATTTTCGATAATACAAATGCCTTTTGATGCTATAAATAATAACTTTTTTCGTTTCTTCTATGTTAAAACTTAAAGAAGAACTTACTGAGAGTTTCTCAATACGTATAGAGAAAAAAAAATTACTTCATATATCCCTCCGTAGCTTCGAACTCGAACTACCTCAGCCGTTTCGCTTGGTAGTCCTAGTCTTGGTATCTACTGAATCATTTTGATAGTAACAGAGTTAATAATGATTCTAATGGCTCATACGATATCTTGCTGACTTGTACTTATACAAGTACTGTTATATTTCATACAACCGCTCGTGTGAAGATAGAACGGATTAAATTGAATAGAAAAGTCATGTATTTTGCAAAATTCGCAATAGTTGACAAGGAATGAATTATTCTCTGTGAGATAATGAGCGCATGTGAATCGGTAGGCCAAACTCCGTGTAAAGAAAAATGGTTTACTTCTGAAGATGACCGCTGTCGCGCGGCAACGCGCCGCTGTTCGTATCTACATCGCCCTATATTGTGATTATATGTACATATGCATGATTCTACATATTTACATATAATTATATATACTTTTGCATACTTATACATTAGTATACATAATTATACAAAGTAACAAGTAATTCGTAAATCGCACATTCTGTGTAATTATATCTCATTATATTATATTATTATATCTCATTATGTATAAGTATGCATACGTTAGTATATATTTATACAATTTTATATAGATATATATCTTCATATATAATTATATCCAGGTGACATCAGACAACATCATACAAAATTATGTATAAAGTCTTAGAAACTTATATGTAATTGCATGACG